AAGGGTTTATGCAGCCTTGCAGACTTAAAGACTGGGTAGGAAGAACCCTCCGAAGGCTTTTAGAACCTGGATTGGGACACAGTTTATACGTTTCAACTCATGATCACACATCCTGTTCATGTGCGTCACTGTTTTAAATGTTTGCAGTTCTGTAAATGACCACATGGAGGAGCCAGAGGACTCTCAATGATTGGACTGATGTCAGATATTCAGAAAAGCTTCTTCACGGTGATTCTGTTTGGGCAATGAAATCACAGAAATGTAAAAAGTCTGTCTGGGTTAATTCTAACAACACTGCTTCTTTAATTTTCTTTATATACTTTAAACATTAAATAAACTTCATTTAAATTTAGCCTGTAACATAAAATAATGTGGAAACTTTCACTTCATTTATTCAGAGTTTCTAACTCCTGAACTAAACTCGGTGTCTCTCTTTTCTGCAGCAATGGAACTGAGATCAGAGAAACTGCTGATCATCAACAACCACAAAATATTACGTTAAAATCATGAAAATGTGTAGATTTGTTTTATTGAGTTGTTTCTGCAATGAAAGACAGATTTGTTCTGTTTATATTTGCTTGACTGTATAAACTCTAAGTTTAATTCTCAGAACTGAGAAACACACACAGTGAAGCTCTCGAATCCTTCAAACACACACTCAACACAAGAGTGAAGCATTTCATGCTGTGAGACTAGTGTCTGCTGCAGAAACACAGAGACGTCCTCGATCAAAGAGTGTGGAGCACAATCCAGCTCTGTGTGACTGCAAACACGACTGATTCTTCCAGGAACATCTCCAGGGGTTTTATATTTCCTCTAGTCATCCTCATTGTTTGACCCCTAGCTCACCAGGTGTTATGCTGTGGGAGTGCACATCGAATAATCTAGAAAGGAACTCCAATGCTGTCATCTGGACCAACAGCCTTTGCACTCTTCATTCTCCCCAGAGCCTTCCTCACCTCATCCTTTCTAATCTTTTCAACTTCCTGCTCTACAATATTCACCTCTTCCTCCCTTCTTTCCCTTTCATTCTCCTCATTCATCAACTCCTCAAAATACTCCTTCCATCTTCTCAGCACACTCTCCTCACTTGTAAGCACCTTTCCATCTCTATCTTTAATCACCCTTATCTGTTGCACATCCTTCCCATCTCTGTCTCTCTGTCTCGCTAATCTATACAATTCCTTCTCGCCTTCCCTCGTGTCTAACCTGGCATACAACTCATCATATGCTTTCTGTTTGGCCTTTGCCACCTCCCTCTTCACTCTGCGCTGCGATTCCTTGTAGTCCTGTCTACTTTCTTCAGTCCTTTCAATGTCCCACTTCTTTTTAGCTAGCCTCTTCCTCTGGATGATGTCCTGTACTTCCTCATTCCACCACCATGTTTCCTTATCTTCTTTCCTCCTTCCAGCTGACACACCTAGCACCTTTCTTCCTGTCTCCCTGATCAATTCTGCTGTAGAGCTTTTATTTAATTTGTCTTCAGTTAAGATCATAATGTGACGCCAGTAGGACCTTTGTCCTTCTATCATTTCTTCCGTCTTCACATGAATCAGACGAGCAAAGTGGACTGAACTTACTCTGTAATGGCATTGAAAAAGTATATTAATAGAAGATCAGATCAACTCTTCTTTGGATCTGCAGAGGGGTCTACAAGCTTTTAAACTAACCATTCGTTATTGGATATTAGAAGCAATCTCCTCTATGAATCAGGGCTCATTCAATAGGGAATATTGATGGCAGGAGTGTCGATGGAGGACACATGTGATGTGGCAGGACGGTCCTCACATCATACGTTTATAAGATATTGTACTGTGGATTTCCCTTCATTACCTGGATCCCAAATTGTTAAAGCCATTATATTTACAGGCTTTGACCTAATGCATCTTTGGCCATCATCAGCAGTTCTATGTTTTTGGCCTTCAAAAGGAACATAAACATGTGTAGTGTTATGGCATAATCGAAATAGATAGGGGCCTCTTTGACCTTTAACTTGAACACCTACCTTTTCTCTTATAAACACATTTCATTATGTCATAGTGGGTTGAGTTCCCTCGAAAGGGAATGTCTCATGTTACTCATGTAACCACAGTTGCCTGAGAAAGGGAACAAGATGCTGTTTCATGCTTAAAAGGTGAAGGGGTGTGGTTATAAGGCACTGTTTGTACCCCTGGTTCCTTTGTCATCCAAAACGTCACCCCTAGTGTCTATAAATTGACTTGAAATAGTTTTAGAAAGATTTTATTTGTGTGTCTTTGGCAGTAACCTTTCTCAGGGAACTGGAGACTTTTTTTGACAAATTTAGTGTGGTGTACTCATTTATTCTGAGCACTGTGTATATACTATTCAATCCCATTTTTATTTTATTCCATTTTAATCCTTTAGTTTGAGTAAAGTTTACTTCAGAAAAAAAGACCAACTCATCCCAATCATTTGTGAGTTACACTAGTTTTCCCAAACGTGTTAGTGACTTCTATTATGTAATCTACACACTGAAGAAGACATGGTGTAAATGCTGTATTCAGTTTATTGTAATAATTGTGTGCTTCAGAGCAGAATAATACTGAGATGTGTCACAGAGAATCAATATAATTTCACACAGGATAGAAAGAAAACAGGTATTGGTTGTGGTTCAGAGCTCCCCTAATTAACAGGCTGTTCTGGACTTCCAGAAGTAGTTCTTGCACCCCGCCTTGCGTTCTTTGTCTCCGCTGTCTCTTCTCATCAGGTCCAGTCCAGTGTGGAGAGCAGCTAGAGATGGGGCTTCAGGCTGGATGTCTGCTGCATCTGGTGCACTGAGCAACAACTCCAGCTCTGAGAGCGTGTACCTCTCTGGATTCTGGAGGGGTTGTAGAAAGGGGTTGATATTATTACTTCAAATGACTGACTGGTTTTCAAATGGTGTTAAATTTGATATAATGATGCCTTCAATTTATATAACGCTTTTCCGGACGAAGTATTATTCATTCACCCTACATTCATGGACAGCTGCCCCACCACTTGTCACACCTGTCCATACACGGCAATTTAGCAGAGGTGGCTTGCCCAAGGCCACAATGGCAGAATGGACCTGGCAGGGATTGAAGAGACGACCTTCCGGTTATAGTACGACAAACTCCACCACTACACCACATGCCGCCCATTAGTGTAGAGCACATCCACTTTTTAATTCATTGTTTCTTTATTACAAGTGTCCATTTTTGTGAATTCAGCATCAATAATAAGACAATATATTAAATATGTTTTTATTTTGTTGGAATTATTGTAAATTGGAAAACCAATTTTCACCAGTTTGCAAAATTAACTTTTTGAGCACATTTAGACTCTCAAAAATACAATATACAAATACATGAGAGTTCTCACCATCTTCTGTGCTCCAGCCCTATGAATCTGCAGAGAGCAGCATGGCTGTGGAAAGCTTGAAAGTAAATAAGATTTTGTACATCAGCAGAGTTTATTCCAGGGGATATAGCAGCTGAGCTAAAAGCACAGGAACCCAGTGATCTAGAGGGGTTGGGAATGACTAGAGACTGCGGCAGAACTAAGGGACTGGGCGAGGGGATGGATAGAAATGAGATAAGATGGAGAAAGATATGGAGAGAATTATACATCAGCACGAGGACATTTTAGTGGATCAAAAATGTTAAGGGGAACCAGTAGGAGGTGTTCAGCGTGAAGAGTTTGAATGATCAAAACCCTAATAAAAGTATAATCGAGAGGTATATAGCAAATGAACTATAACTGCAGCGGATTCCTGGAGAGCGATGCTCTATGAGGGCCTTGTATGTTTAATTTTCCAAAAGTTAATCAGAACATATTTAAATAAAAGGTTTAAAAAGTTTTTATGTCACTTAATTGTAAAAGAAGCAGTTAGTAAACATAATTTTATTATATGATGACCGTCAATGTTGTGTCTTCATTACGATGAATCAAAACACACAAGCATCTAGATAAAAAAGGGTCGAAGATTTAACTGTAAATCTCAAATCACAGTCATTTCCTGGAATTATCCAAGCACATAATTGGAGGTTCATTGAGGCTTTTTTAGATCTTACCTCTTCATCTGCAGAAGAGACGTGCGCCACCTGAAGCGCTGGGTTCAGAAGCATGTGAGATCTCCCAAAGATGATCCCTGCCATCATGACCAGACACAGCAGGGTGCCACTCAGGTGGAGCTGCGAGGACGAGGTCATCTTTTCTAAGATCCGAGCTCTAGCCAGTCCTAAAATGGAACTTCTTGCTCATTTGAAGACCATTTTATACTATTGTGAAGTTTATTAGGCTTAAACATTAACAAATTCAACCAGTGCCATCTGGTGAAATCTTTTTCCATCTTTAGAGAAGCACACAGTTGTTTCCTGCTGCTTAAACAAAGAGTAAGAAGAAGAATTAAGAGCAACTCCAATAAAACCTCCAATTAGCCTTGATCACATTGATCTGTTGCTAGAGAGAAGTGTGTGGAGTGCAGAGTCGTAAATATTTACCGATGACCACTGGGGGATCCTAGGAAACCAGTATAAATCAACCATAATAAATCAAAATTATCTTCCAGTCATGTTATATAGTATTTTAGAAGGTAGTGCAGCATAAATATGTTTAGATTGAATTATACAAAATAAAGGACCACCGAACAGCTCTTTTACATCATACTCACGGCATCCAAAGAGCCAGCTCTCATTGGTCATTCTCATGAAAAATGGAACAGATATTGCAGTTTGGAATATGTGAACTCTCGTTGGTTTTCAATTAAGACACAAGACTTCGAATTAAAAATTTGGATCTATGTTTAGAATCAATTTAGATTGATGTGTAGATGCTTTGAATCTTTGTCATGAAACATTCACTGCAAAAGTAAAAGGTTTTGAATAACTGTGGTGTTCACTCAAACTTAAATGATCTTATAGTTTCTACAACATTCTGTGAATGCTAACTGCATCTCTTTTACATTTTATCCAAAGCGACTTACATTTGAAAGAAAGAACACATTTTTTGTCAGTTCTTGCTTCCCCTGGGATTTGAACCCACGACCTTTGCGTTGTTAGCGCAATTATCTACCAACTAAACCTCTCAAGCAGACATACTGTACTTGTTAGGGATTCTGTGCCCCACTCACACTCACCTGAAGACAATAACTTGATTAACCAATCAGAGCACTCATTTCTCACAGATAAAAAGATCCTGCACACACACACCTCCTCAGTTGTCAGATCTACAGTTCACATTATCTGACTCCCCATGATCGCCTCCTGATTTATTGGATGCAGAAGAGCACCTCGCTGTGTATCCTCTGGGTTCTCCTCTATCTCTGAACACTCCAGATTCTACTTACCCGCTACTTACATTTACATTTATTTATTTAACAGATGCTTTTTTTCCTAAGTGACTTACAGTTCAGGAGTAAACATAAGCAGTTTGTTACAAGATCGGATTAATCATAAGACATACACATAGAAGACGTTTGAGCTGATGCAGAAAAATAAGTTCAGTGCTTCAGAGTTTTCAAAAAAATGTTATTAGGTAGTTAAGTTAGTAAGTGCTCTTGAAAGAGTTTTTAGTTGCTTTTTAAAGATAGAAAGAGACTCAGCTTTTCGGATCCATATGCGTAGAAGTTGAGATGAGTGTTCTGTGAGGAGATGTCTGATCTTTCTGATGTTAAACAGAGAGAATGTACATGCTCGAGCGCATTTAGCGATGTGTTCCTTGAATGTTAGCTGCTCATCGAAGATCACTCCAAGGTTACGGACAGAGGTGGAGGAGAGATTGTCGACGACTCTAGTTGTATGATGAAGTCATGCTGGACAGTGTTGAGCTGTAGGTGATAGTGCTTCATCCATGTTGAGATGTCCTTCAGACAGTCTGTTATGCGAGTTGTAACAGTAGAATCATCAGGATGGAATGAGAATTTTGGCAGTGAAAGGTGGAAGTGAGATGGGTTTATAGTTTTCTACCCGGGAAGTGTTGGGAATTGGTTTGAAAGCTTGGGTAACCCCTCTTCCTTCCGTAACTTACTTCCATTCCTGTCGCCAGATTGAAGACATTGTGAGTTCCACCGGTGCCTCCTCTAGTGATCTACATAAACTCTGAGAGACGCTGATTTCCGTTCCATATTAAGGGATGTCATTATTCTGTACTGATGCTGATTGGGTATTAAAACGTGTGTATCCAGTGTTCCAACTCCACCTTCCTCACATTTTCCCTTCTCAAGGGGCTTTTGTGTTTATGTGTTTATTTAAATAAAGAGCCCCTCTGCTGACAGTATCTTGCGTTTGAGTTCTTGTCTCACTACCGCCACCTATAGATTAAGACACTTAACCAACCTTAATAAAAAGTCCCAAGCCTGTCGTCCTTCCCATGCTTCCCCCTCTCTCCTCCTTTCGTTTAACTGTCCTATTGCTTCAATAAAGGAAAAAATGGCAACAAAAAAAAAAAGAAATACTGTGTGATCCACAATACTGTGGACTGTGATGAATGTTACAAAGTTAAAAAGGGCATTTCTTAACCAAAACAAAATGTTTTGTGATTGTCATTCATTCACTTTCTTGACCCGATCTTCCTTATCAGGGTCACAGGGTTCAGATGGCACTGTTCAGGTGAAAGGTACACCCTGGACTTGTCACCAGTTTACCACAGGGCAACACCACATTCGCTCCTAAGGGGAATTTAGAGGATTCAAGGAAACCTAGGCACAGTGAGAACATGCAAACTCCTCTCAGGAAGCCACTGGCTGAGTTCATACCAGTGATCTTCTTACTGATAGACTGCAGTTGTACCAACTGTGCCGCTCTGTGATTGTTATAGTGAACCTACAGTTAATTTTTTTACAGTAATGGAATTTTACTTATTAGCAGATCTCTATAATTAGCCAGTTACAGATATTTGCAATTGTTTTGTTTACATTTCCAGTCAAAAATGAACTAATCTCTTGAGCAATGTTCAAAATGATCCAGGTGAATGTCAATGAATTTCAACAACAAAGAAACGCAGAAGTTAATATTTATTCATCTTGAAAGTCTCTGGTGACTGTCAGCATACTTTAGCAAACATTACTGTACAGAGAGAGAAACACTCAGTGCAATAAGACAAAAGACATCGGCTTTCTACCCGTCACAGTGCACATTTCACATCGAAGAGATTGTACATTGTTACATTTCCAACCTGGCAACAATCATCTTTATTGTGGATCTGGAGATTGGAACATATACAATCAAACCTGCTACAACTGTTTATCAAGTGCTGTCCTGGTTATTAGTTCCCTTTAGCCTCCAGCAAGTACTGAACCTCTTCGAACACTTCAGCTGCCTCGAGTGAAGGCAAGCTCTAACAATTCTGTCATTATCTCCTTTCTCTTGTTCCACTTCTGAGTTTCAAATTTAGGTCCTTTATTTTTTTATTGATTACCATCAAGTTCTTATTTAAATATCATTAAGCCGTTTATTGAATTTAAATGAGGTAGTGCACGTATGAAGGTTACGTGAAGCACCTCTTATCTTCATCCCACTGTTTCCTCTCCACCTGTAAGCTAACGTGTGTTCTGATGCACCAAACAAAAGGTGCAGTGCCACTTTTGTTCACTTTATTCCTTCATTTTCTTCACCCATAAGGGTCACAGGGTTCTGCTGGTGTCACATCTCCAGCACACATTGTACACCCCAGACCTGGACTAATTGAAAAGAATTACAGGGAGGTGCATTATTACACTCTTCAGTGTCAGAAAGCTGCACAGCACCACCCTGTGTAGTGGGGCACTTCCGTTTTTAAGCATTCTCTAACATCGGGCAATCATTTTACACAGTCACTCCTTACTGACAATAAAAGCAAATGCTGATCTGTGAGCAAATAATGTTCAAAGTAGGAACAAAGTAGGAATTAGGTCGAACCACTTATTGTTTCATTCTGATCTCAAATATTTTGAATTATAAATTAATTATTTTCGAACATTACAAGAGTTATGACACATGATTTAAACGGTGATTCAAATTAAAATCTGAGAAAATCCATGATCGTTTTTCATTTTCATTTTACAGACCCCAAATCAGTGCCATCTAGTGGTGAAAATAAGGGGTGGTAGTACAATATCTGTGATATGGCTTGTATTTTTCAAAGTTCTGGCACAAAAACGCACAATTACATAGGGAAAAGTGTTTGGAATAGTGTATATGGTTTAGGAGAGGTTTGTCTTGTTTTAAAATCAATTTTTACATTGTTTTAACCTTGTATTTGTTTTTTACAATTTTGATTTTTTTGTTATAAAACATACAAATAGTTTGTTGTCAATTTTTGCTGTTAAAAAAGGCTAAATTACATTTTTATGTTCAATATCAGGTTTGTTGAGGCATTATTGTAATATGTAATAATAAAATCTTTGTAAAAAAGAAGGGAGTCCTTGAATGACCTTGTTTTAAAGGTCATTTATTAGAGTTTATTTCAAAGAGGTAAAAACTACTCAAAAAGGCCCTGGACTGCATATAAACCAGTCTATATAAAACAAGTTAGACATAATAATAAGATGAACTCAAAAATGTGGTGTTCAGCATTCACTATGTACTGTTGTTTTTTTCACCAGCTATGCATAACTGTAGATAGAAATTCCTATCATTAGTAGCGATCTGGAGGCCCTAGGTATAGAAATCCTCTGTTCTGATTGACTGTAAAATAGAGTGAGATTCCAAAAGGACCAAGAAACATAAACAGCTATGGGACAAGAGCGTGAAGAGAAAATTTCAGAATGTATAACAGTTCCTTTAAAGTGGCCATATCTGTGGTCACCACCTGGGTGTAAGTACAACTGCTGGAGGCTGTTGATCATTGGTTTATGTTGCTAATAAACATATAGTGTCTATCTGGAATCAATAATCAGTATAGTTCAATAACTGCTGATAAATAATGGCATTCTGTACAATATCACTGCTCGAAACAATTCTCAGTTCACAACTGTCCATGTACACAGTTTCTCTATAATACTAAGATGCAAAAAATACAAGGTTAATATTTGCGATTGTCATTACTCTGGGGAACCTTCAGTGATGTGCACTTTGGAGGATTTTCAGCTATTGCCACAGCCCCAAAGAAAGAAGGTTGTCTCTCAGATTTACAGGTAAAGTTTTCCACATCCCTTACATGACACATATATTTCCGCATCATACAGGGACCAAAGCTACGAGTTTTAAATGTGCATTGACCTGACATTGGAGTAAGTCTTCTTTGAAACATAGCGCTCACTGTTAAAGAAACTAACGAGAAAATCATGGTTAAATGGATAACTTTGAACAACTTGAACAGTATATTAGTTAATATTAGACATTCAAAAATGATCTAATAACATGTGGAAAGGCAGCAAGAAGAACGCTAGCCCTCGCCCAGCCTTTAACATCCAGTGTTTAAACAGACTTCATTCAGAGAGGTGAAATATCCAGAAAGGCAAGTCAAGCTACTGTTCAAAAGGTACTGACTGCGTGCAGTAAAAATAAAACGAAACATTTGAGTTACTACATAGTCTTTACAAAGATATTCCATTTAATTTAGAAAATATCTATAGAAGCTAGGTCATTGAGGAATTACATAAAGTATAAAAATATTAGCCATCAACAATGATATGAAAACCCCTTAACCTGGAAACTCTGAAATATTGCTATAAAAACCGAACCACCCAATCTCTGGTGGAGACGCCCTGTAGCACTTTTCCACTGCATGCTACGATTGTGTTTCTCATCCACTGTGCTTTTCGGCTGCTTCAAAGCAGTTATTCTTTACGACAACTTTCGTTCTGGAGTTTTCGAAAACTGGATCTTGTGGTCAAGAGCATGAGAAAGACTTTAACTCGAGACCTTCTTGCTGTGAACTGGTCGAAATGAGCCCACGTTGCTTCTATGTTTGCACATACAAAAGCAGCACCACGTTCCTACACGTCCACTCTCTCATTGTAGCACCTAAGAGTTAACACACATGTAATTTCGAAAAAAAAAGTTCCTGTAGAGCATCTGCTTAACATCTGAGTGTGCTAGAAATGCATTCAGTTTTTTCTGTAAATTTATAGGGAAACTGTAAATTATTGTTTCCTAGGTTACAAGAAAAAA